AAGTGCGGGGAACGGGTGGGCGCTGGGGCGCCGGTCTACATGGCGGCCGTGCTGGAGTCCCTGACGGCCGAGATCCTGGAGCTGGCGGGCAACGCGGCCCGTGACAACAAGAAGACGCGCATCATCCCCCGCCACCTGCAGCTGGCCATCCGCAACGACGAGGAGCTCAACAAGCTGCTGGGCAAGGTGACCATCGCGCAGGGCGGGGTGCTGCCCAACATCCAGGCCGTGCTGCTGCCCAAGAAAACTGAGAGCCATAAGGCTAAGAGCAAATAAGCTCAGCGAGTGAAGCTGCTCAGACTTCACAAGCTAATGTAACCCAAAGGCTCTTTTCAGAGCCACCCACACGGTCAGAAAAGAGTTGAGTTGCTTGCTTTACAAAAAATAATTTCATGTCAAGTATTGTGTGTCCTACCTTTGTTAGGGAGCTAAACCTGATCTGTGGCAATGTCTTAAAACTTCTTTCATACATGGGAGCAATGTTAGCTTTTCTTTTGAACATGGTACCCTTTCTGATGAAAAAATGCAATTATATTTGTAGTGATTAATTTTTTTGGCTATATTTTTTCTCATAACAGGATTAGTAAAACACTCGTTACTCTTAAAGCTGCTGAACTTTCATTAATTTTTGGTCTACTTATTGTGTAAAATATAGGGGTGCAGGGTTAGAAAACTGAGGTGGGAGTGGAAAAAAGCTATGCAACATGAAAAACCATCTGAAACCCATACAACTATATCTAAAATGAAGTATGGCTTCCTTTGTTTGCCTTTGTTCTTTTCAGAAAGCTTCCCTGTGAGTTAATTTTATCTATAAATAAAATGAGAAGTGCTTTGGGGAACTGTCTCATTTTTATCTAGGTCCTTAACTAGTCAGACCTGCACTGTAAAGCAGCAATAGCATCTTTCCATTTCACAGAAGCTCCTTGCAGCACTGCAATAAGGTCTCCCCAGAGCCTGCTCTTCTCCAGGCTGACCAACGCCAGTTCTCAGCCTTTCCTCATGGGAGAGGTGTTCTAGCTTTCTCATCATTTTTATGCTCGAGCAGGTCCATGTCTTTCATGTGCTGGGGCCCCCAAAGCTGGCTGCAGTACTGCAGGTGGGGTGTCACCCCAGTGGCACAGAGGGGAAGAACCATCTCCCTGCCCAGGCTGCTTTCTGTGAGGCCCAGGATATGATGGGCTTCCTGGTCCACAGGCACACATCCCTAGATCAAAGCACTGGAATTCCAGAGAAAGCCTCTGGAGATATCTGTGTCCAGGAGTGGAATCTGTGAACAAACACCTACATGTGGAAATCAGATTTGGTACCACAGGAGAGGCCCCAGCCCTTCTCCAGGTGTGGAGGTAAGTGCAGCACACCTCTGCAAGTTCTTCCTGACATCTGACCAGAAATCCATTAGTTTCTTCAGAATTTCATTCCAAACACCTCTTATTTCACTTCACTGCTCTGCTCACCTCGGTAACTTGAGCTTCACCCTCCAGGATGCTGAGGTTCATTCTCAGCATTCCCTGTTTTTGTTCCTGGGCACCAGGGATTGTACCAGTCGTGAACCCTGTGCTGCCATCACGCTGGTGAGGCCTCAAAGGTAAATGCCTTCTAAGTCAGATGGATTATATGACAGGAGTGCTGTAAAATCTAATAGTATTAAAGACTCGTGGCTTTCAAGCCAATTCCACAGGAAGTAACAAATCAAGTTTCAATACTGAGCTTTCTCTCATCGGCATATATAATAGCAGTAAGGAGGAAAGCCGTTCCGTAAGCTGCCTTAGCTGTACATTGTGTGCCAATACATCTTCACCTTTTAAAGACCTTGTGATGCAAAGAAATTCCAGCCAAGCTCCTTCAAATGTTATCTATTGCAGTTACCTTTAGGGATAACTCAGTAATGTCCTTCTATATATCAAGTGTCTTTGAAGTGCATAGTTAAAAAGTAAGATGAAAGGGTTTTCTATCCTTTTTCCATTGCTTTGTTTGCAAGATTGGAAATAATGTCCCTTATTAAAAAGATCTTACATGGCTTTATTTTTCATATTATTAGTATTTCAGTTGTAGCAGAAACAGATATGGATTTAAATTGCCATATAACCTCTCAAGAAAAGTGAGCAAATTTGCAGCTGGATATAATATGCTGCTGTACTGATTTATTACCAGTTATGTACTTTCTTGTCCAGTCATGGTGAGATGTTGCACTACTGCAACAAATGCAATTTTCTCATTATAGGTTAATGAGGAAATAGGACAACAGTGCTAATTATAGCACACTTGAAAAGCTACATATTTTTATTTTAATGGAGCAGAGTTTTCCAAAGGTTTCCTTTCTTGTTTATCTCTTAGCATTGTGTGTCTAAAATCATGAGCAAGATACAGTTCCTAAAATCTAGGAAGCACATTCTAAACTTAGATCCAAATCATAATTATTGTCTCAAATCCACAGTAAAACCAACTTCTGTTAGGCATTATACTGAGCAGCAGAATTTTTCTTTCCACTTTAATTGTTTTTTTATCTCACAAAACCCTCTGGTCCCTGAGAGAACTGCTGATTTCACTAACAGAAAGACTCAGGAAGCAGCTCTCTGGCCACTTGTAGCAACCCACAGGGAAGGCAACCTTCTAGAAAGCATAATGTTAAATAGTATTAAGTGTGCTCCACACTTTGGAAAAGGAGTTTGCAGCTAATTAAGCTACTGGTCTCAGCCTCCGCATCACACATTTCTTCCAGGACACTTTGAAACAATATTTTTCAAGTATTCCAGTGGTTATACTGCTAGAGGGAAGATTGCACTGTGATACTAACCCTGAGTCTTGCCAATGGCCAGGCCTAACAGGAACAACACAACCAGCAGGAAGAGAATCCAATACACAGACTGTATTGTAGACACAAACGTTATGATATGAATGACCGCCGGGGTACAAACAGATCAATCAGCTGGTACATAAACGACACCACCCCCAACGATCCCACAAAAGACACGACTCAGCCCACAACAGGTGGTACAAACTGAACCGAGGGTTCCCACAGCTGGCATGGGAAACAGCCAGACCAGTAAGTTAAATACATGAGAAAGGTGCCCACATAGTGACTCTCACCCAATCCGCCCACATTCGCAAAGGTCTAAACAGACTGGGGCCCAGCTCCAGGGAGAGTCAGGAGGTCTGCCCTGAACCAGGAAGCTCTGGGGAGTGCACTCCACAGACAGACACTCCTGACTCCCTGCAAGTGGTCCCAGCTTTTATCCCCAAGCAG